AGGTTGAGAGACATTAAAAGACACTTTTGGTAATGCAAGTTAGAATAGAAAGTGAATTAGGTACAACCTTTTGAGCTCATCAAGATAGGATAGATATGGAGTATTTTCTCTGGATTTGTCAATTGCTAATGGACTAGACATTGTTGATGTATTTATTACCTGTATAATTGTATATAGTTATTATACTTGCTGTATATAGTTTGTCTTTTGTTAATTATAACCTTTTTGTTTTGTTTTGTTTATTTTTTGAGACATGGTTTCTCTATTGCTTTGAAGCCTGTCCTGGAACTTGCTCTGTAGACCAGGCTGGCCTCAAACTCACAGAGATCCACCAGCTTCTGCCTCCTGAGTGCTGGAATTAAAGGCATGCACCACCACTGCCTGGCTCTTCTTTTTTATTTTAGACAAAAAAGGGGAAATGTGGTATTAATTTGTTTATGATCTAACAAATGAAACTTGTCTGAAGATCAGAGTACAGAGCTAAGCCTCTAGTTAGCCATAGAGGCCAGGCAGTGGTGGCATAAACATTTAATCCCAGCACTTGGGAGACAGAGGCAGTTGGATCTCTGTGAGTTCAAGGCCACCCTGGGCTACACAAAATTGAATCTGTCTAAAAAGGAAACAGAGCTCATACAAAGGTGATCCCAGCACTTGGAGTCACACACCTTTAATCCCAGCACTAAGGAGGTAGAGACAGGAGTGATATGGCTGGATAGAGAGAGGAATATAAGTCAGGAGAAGTCAGGAGCTCGGTGAGTCCGAGGATGCAGTCTGTGATGAAGTCTGCGGGCAGGATCGCCCTTTTGGTCTGAGTTTGGTAGAGGTGAGAACTCTCTAGTGACTGGCTGCTCTATTTCTCTGATCTTCAGCTTTCACTCCCTGATAGCTGACTCTGAGTTCTTATTACTAAGACCAATTAGAATTTGTGCAACAGAATGCCACATAAACTAGTACTGAAAGTGAATCAGAAGTTCAGGGACACCGGGAATGGTGACTCTTACCTTTAATCCAGCACTCGGAAAGCAGAGACAGGCAGATCTCTGTGAGTTTGAGGCCAGCCTAGTCTACAGAGCTAGTTCCAGGACAGCCAGGGCTGTTACACAAAGAAACCCTGTCTCAAACAAACAAACAACAAAACCAACAATAACAAAATTAAAACAACCAGAAAATTCAGTATGTGACTGTTTGAAGAACTCAGCCTGTAGTACTCCATTGTGTTGTCACAGTAACACTCATATTAAATTTCTTATTAAACATGGATTCATTTTGCAGCATTGGGGAACGAACTCCTGATGTCTTTCATGCCAAGTCACACTTTCCAGCCCAGCTGTATCTCTGCTTCAATCATTCCCATTATAAAGACAAGAGAGCTGAGGAACAGAAAGGTTCCATCATTTGCTTAAGAAAGAATAAGTAGACACCCTTTCCTAGACTTTCCTTGTGGGTAAAAATAGGCTGAACCACATTGGAGCTTGAAACAGAAGGGGAAATATGTACCCCATACATTCTTATGCAAATAACCTCCCACGTCCTGAAGTGAGTGGAAAAAGTGGATAAAAGCCCTGCAACCAAAAATAATAAAAAGCAGAGTTGCCTAATGTCTCCAAATGCTACCATCAGTCCTCCTTCTGAAGCCACTGCAGTGACAGCCTGGCCGGGAGGGAACGGAATGTCTGCTACAAAATAAAAACAAAGTCCTGTCTTTAAATTTTCAAATTTTGTTATCTCTGATTGTTGGCATCTGTTTTGATGTTGTCCCTAAAAAGATGTTATCTGTTTTAATTGCTGAATTTTTTTGTGCTCTGTTAAGTTTGCAACCCAGAAGATTTCTTCATTCATCTCAATTTTGATTACATTTTATTGATTATTTTTGAACTGGGAATGTATGTGTGCACATCTCCATGCCAGTGTCAAGGATGTGTATGAAGGTCAGAGGACAACTTGCAGGAGTGAGTTTTCTCCTTTCGTCATGTTGGTTCTGGGAGTCAAACTGGAGCTCTCAAGACTGGCGGCAAGGGTCTTTACCCACTGAGCCGTCTCACCAGCCCGTTCCTACCATCTTAATCTGGGCCCGGGATGAAGCCAAGTCTTTGCCTGAATGGCACCAGGGGCACTCCTCAGTGCCAACCTCCTCTCAGCAGGACCCACAAAGCGATGGTGTGGTGGCTACATCTGTAATCCCAGCCAGCACCCGGGAGGCTGAAGCAAGAGAATCTGGAATTTGAGGCCTGAGTGAACTACAAAAAGAGACCACGACTGGAAACAAACAAAGAGACAGGGCCCTTTTATGTTGTAGTTACCATTTCCTGCACCATTCTGTGAGTCCCCGTTTCTGGTGACGTTTCTCATGGCCCACATGACAGGGGAGTGCCCTGTCTTCTCATCAGAAATACTGAATCACAAATCTGCGGTGATGGGAACGGTTCCACTTTGAGGCGAGCACCCGTACATGCCTGCAAAACTGGAGACAGCTGACGTTCTCCACCCAGCCTTAGTCACATCTGACCCGGAAGCCACAAGTTCCCGATTCCTGCAGTGTGTACCCATCTGAGCTGGTGGCATCAGAATTCCCAGGTCCTTTAACCATGGATATGCTGAGAGTCTGCCTTTCCTAGAGCTTAAGACTGGATGAAAGGAGTCCTTCATCCCAAGGCCTGCCTTCTGGTTCAAGAGCCTGCAGTGCCCTCCTCAGCCACACAGCTGGCTGAGACTCCGAAGCAACACTTTGAGTGGAATGAACATTGCTGATTTCCTTTGTGTGATCTTACTCTCTATCTCTTTTATCTATCTCTCTTCATTTACCCAGGACTTCAAGAAAAGCAGAGAAGCCACCCTTAAAAACAACCTTTTGTTGCTTTAGTGCAGAGGGACGAAGAGGAGCTATTGTCCTGGGATGAGGAAGCAGAGAAACAAGCTCCCTTTTCCTTATAAAAAGGATCCCACAAATCCCAGCTAGAGCTTCCCTCTTGAGAGGACATTTTTTCAAGGTTGTTTTGTTCGTCTTTAGTGCAGGAGTGTTTTTGCTTGGGTGTCTGTGTACCAGGTTTACACCAGGTTTGTGCTTGGTACCCTCAGAGTCACAGAAGGGCACCAGATCCTCTGGAACTGGAGTAGCAGATGGTTGTGAGAGGCCATTGTGAGTGCTGGGACTTGAACCCTGGTCCTCTGCAAAAGCAGCCAGAGCTCTTAACCACTGAGCCATATCTCCAGCCTCCTTCAACTCCTCCCCACCTAAAACTTTTACAGAAGAGAAATTTAACTTAGAACGTCGGCTTTAAAGTGAGAAAAGTCAGGACATCTAGGGATGCTACCTAGACATCCCTCCTGACATTTCTGGACAAGAACACAAACAACCCCTCAATGAAGGGGTTTCTCCAAGGCCTAATGGAGGGAACTGGGCCTGGTGGTACAAGCCCTTTGACCCAGCGCTAAATGGCTGAGTCAGGAGGACGGAAGTTCAAGGTCAGCCTGACTACCGAGTAAAACCCTATCTTGAAACAACAAACAGATGGACAAATAAGAGCTGGGCACATAGTAGTGGGGAGGTAGAGCGCTTGCTTAGCATGCTTGTGGGCCAGATGTCCAGCAGTGCAGAGGGGAAAAAATGGCCTCGTGGATCCCTGCAATCATTTCTGCCCTTTCCAACCCAACTCCCAAGATGCAACTGGTGAGACCTTCTAAAAATGCAAATTTAACACCAGGAGGAAATGAGTGAACACTGACTGAATTACAGGCACTCTGTAAGTGCCACAGAAATCCTACTCATAAGTACAAATCATGCTATCTCCCTCCAAGGGGCAAATGAAAGCTTCAATGCCCGCCTCACCTTCTGCTTCCCACAGTGGCTACCTTACTATTTATTTGTTGGGTTGGTTTGGTTTTTTTCGAGACAAGAGTTTCTCTGTGTAGAATCGGCTGTCCTGGAACTCATGCGGTAGACCAGGTTGACCTCCAACTCACAGACATCTTCCTGCTTCTGTCTCCAGAGTGTGGGGATTAAAGGTGTAGGCTACCACTGCCTGGCTTCCTCGATCTTTATAGCGAATCTCCAGGCCTCACTTCATCTTTCTGAAGAAAAGTTTTATCTTGGCTACAGCAAACTTCCTTCCTTCTACCTTTATTCTTCCCAGATCCGTTCTTTTTTTTTTTAATATTTATATATTATGTACACAGTGTCCTGCCTGCATGTACGCCTGCATGACAGAAGAGGGCACCAGATCTCATTATAGATGGTTGTGAGCCACCATGTATGTCGTTGCTGGGGATTGAACTCAGGACCTCTGGAAGACCACCCAGCGCTCCGAGTTCTAAAAACTTCAGTGCTTTCCTTTCACCTGTTATGTTCCTTCTCGCAAACACGCCTCTGTACTCTGTTCCAACTTCACGTGATCATGATTGTAGTCCCGTTCTAAGTGGTGGTTCGGTGTTAGCCTCCATTGCTAGGCTATTAGCTACTCCAAGGCAAGGGTTGCAGTTCTGTTACTGCCCATCAGGGAAACCGAACTGGGAAGAACTGGGAAGGGTCTCAGTGACAGATATCAAAGAGTAGGGGACTTTAAAGTACTTCCTCCTTTAGGTAACAGACCCACACATGCACAGTCGCTACAAGATTTGAAAATCATTCGGATCTCAGGCCCAGGTGGGCTGGGAGGTGAGGTGAGTTTTAGGAGCAGCAGATTATGAGGATCTTAACAGCAAAAACTCCGTACCACGCGCGCAGAAGTTGGCCCAGAAAAAAAAAAAAGGGTGGGTGACATCTGTCACGTGTACCAAGCAGGGCCAGCAGCCTCCGCCGCACCCGGTGGCAGGAATGTGACCTGGCCCCGCCTGCGTGCGTGCGGGCAAAACCGAGCCAACCCCCGGGACTGACGTCAATCAAGGGGGCGCCTCCGGGCGTGGGGAGGGCAGGGGTTTGCTGGTGGAGGCGGGGAGGGCGGAGGAGGACCTGCCCCTCACCGATACTCTGTGGTTGATTGGATTCAAAGAATCTTCGTTCTCGATTTGGAGGCTGGCACGGGAGAGGGGCGGGACTAGGCACGCCCTTCCCCCTCTGCAGCGGCTGATTGGCCAGCGGAGTCTCCGCGTTCGATTTGGGAAGGTTGGCTCAGCTGCTCGCTGCAAGGCTGTGGCCAAGGATTGGTTGTTGAGGGCCTCAGAGCACTTTCTCCGGGGAACTGTGGCTGCGATCCAGGTGGCTCGGACCGGATCCCGGCTGCGTTCTGCCCGCCTCGGGCAGCCAAGGCAACCAGGTAGGTAGGCCATGGTCCGGGTCAACTCTGCGCGGGAGCGCACGGGAATACGGTCGTAGCTAGGAATCCGCCAGGTCGCACATCCTAGATCTATTTAAGGGCCTCTTGTTCTGCTAGCGGCCACTTCTGATCCCTGGGGCCGACTGTGCTGGGGATGGCGCCCTGTACCCTCTGCCAAGAGACCCTCTCCCAAGCTCTTGGCCTGCCAGTCACCTCCTCTTGGCCCATACGATCACCTTCAGGGCAGGAAGCCCAGAGCTGCGTCTGCCCTTCCGAAAAGCCGGAGAGAGGTTGGAGTGGGCGTCTTAACTGCCGGATCCCTATTTGGGGTCTGTTGGAACTGGCTATCTGTTGACGCTGATCTATCTCCCCATGGAATTCTGCTTTAGCTCCCCTCGCTCTGACTCCAGCGCAGAGGAGTGCTGGCGTGGGAATCCTGTCTGTGGATCGGTGGCGACCTCCCAAACCCCCAGATGCAGAAATGCAGGCTCTCAGAGGTGTCAGAACCTTCTGCCCCCTTGATTCTTTTGAACACCCCAGCCATCTGGAAGAATCAAAGTAACACTGGGTGAGAGCGTAGGCACCCGGATCAGACCACCTAGTTAATAGCCTGAGATCACCTGCCTGCCGTGGGTGTTGAGCAAGTTACTACTTCAGCTGTTTTCTCTGGAAAATGAACTTAACAATAGTGCCCACTAACAAGGGACATTAGGATGCCACCTCACATGAGGACCAAAAAGCCCTCTGAAAGTGCTGTTCTGTGCTTGACACAGCAAGAGGCTTTCTTCCATGAAGTTAGGGGTAGAGTTTGAATATGTCGGTGATGATGACCATGGTTCTATGTAGCTTTCCCCTGGCATCATTTTTCATTCAACCAGTATGCAGAGTAGAGAGTGTCTGTAGGATGCCAGGTACTAGGATGGGCACTCATATTTCATCTCTGTACTCAGTAAGGATTTTTTTCCCTCACCATTTTGGTGAACAAAATGAAGCCAAGGAAAAGAGACTTGTCCAACGTCACTCAGTGATCCAGGAACTCAGGGCTTTGAATTCTTTCAAAGGGAGTTATACCTCGATCTACTAGTTTATTTTCAGGTCATGCCTGAAAATGGATCTGGAATAACGACCTGGTTTTCTTCATCGCTTCTGGGGTATAGATTTGGAAAGCCAGCAGTATGTGGGACACAGGGTCATTTGAACATGGCTTCCCACTTGAGGAACAATAGATTTTGGCTGTCGTCCAGAGGGGCAGAGTAGCAGGCTAGGGCCAGTGTTAACTTGAGCTACACCTCTGGGTGTTTTAGAGAGAGTGTTGCCATCGCCAGGGTTATTCGAAGATAGCAACCTGAATAGGGAGCAGGGACTGCCACCCCGCCTAAGTGTGCTGTCTCCAGCGTTACCTATGCTTCCCAGCAAGGAGGTGGTGGCAGAATGGAGAAATTATGGGATAGCAGTGGAACTAATGTCACATGCTACAGAGAATGTCCCCACTGTAGGTTGGTGCCATCAGTGGGCTCACCAGTGAGGCATGAAGCATGTGTAAGTCTTTGTTGAGAGCTGTACAGTTCTTCCTTTAATGCCTGACTCACAATAAGCTGAACTTTGTCATCCTCAGCATTCAGTATATCCTTTGGGGTTCATTCTTAACCCATGTGTCCAACCGAAGGGTTTTGTAATTAGTCCTTACTCGACTGCACTCAACCCCTTATCTTCTGTGGCGGCTCCAGAACAAAAGCTGCAGCTGTAATCTTTTAATAGCCCTGTGCTTTTGTTTTCCAGTTTTACAAAGTACCATTGTTCAAGTATACACTTGAACTTCCTGGGGTAAGGTTTTGTCTGGGAAACTCAGAGAGGAATGACAGAACACAGTGAATTGAGACAGGAAGTATTTTCTGACAGTGTTCTGACCCAACTTCAAAGTTGGTTTTCCTGCCGGCCAGTGGTGGTGCACACCTTTAATCCCAGCACTCGGGAGGCAGAGGCAGGTGGATCTCTGTAAGAGCAAGTGCCAGATAGAGTCCAAAGCTACAGAGAGAAACCCTGTCTCAATCAATCAACAAATAAATCAATAAAAATATAAAAAGTCAGTTTTCCTAATGTTTACCATCTCACCCTACTTGGAATCCTAGCTTCACTCTGCTGCCTGAATTCCTAGGGGGTGGCTGAGGTTGATCCCTGGACTGCCCGGGTTTCTTGTGTTGTAACTAACTCAGTTCACTGGAGGCTGACCAGTGAAAGCCTGCAGCCCTGTAGAGGGTGCTGGAACTAACATGGGCAGTCAGGCCCAGGCCATTGTCTCCTGCTGACAGCCGCTACCTGCTGATGCCACTGCTAATTCTGAAAGAGGGACATCACCCCTCTCTACCACCCCAGACTAGTCTACCTAGGGCTTAACCACTTGGCAGTGTTTGTAGACTTCTGCCAGATTCTGACACTTCCACTCACCGTAGGAAAACAGGGGTGGGGAGAATGCTAACTCCTAGTTGAGGCTCTGTCTAGAGCCTAATTAGTTAGACATGTCCACTCATGCAGCTCCCAGCCAACAAGGAGCAGGCAAGCACTTGCTACCCATCCTTGTCATGGCATCACTGACTCAACACTAGTGCAGACAGACCCTCTGAGGCCACCAGCCTCAACCTGCTCCCACAATGGCAGGCTGTCAGCCTGGAGGTGATGGGCATTCCTGAGGCCTATCAACTGGCGAATGGGAGAAGCAGGGGCAGAGCCCTGACTCCTCCGAGTTTCATGTCACTCTGTGCACTGGGCTCAGCTGTAGCCCTAGAGTTCTGTAAGGAAACTGGGAATTTTCTTCTGAGAACACCACTGGTTCAAGACTGAGGATAATGCTGTCACCTAATCATGTGACTGGACACAACTCCACCTTGTGGGATAAGGAGGGATGTCCTTCACTCCTCATGGAAATGGGAGGAAGCAGTCTGAGTTTAAACTGTGGGGCCGTATAGTCAAAGGATGGGGTCCAACTGGGCCCTGGCCCTTGCTTCTGCAGTGGGGTAGCAATAACAGTGTCCACCGTCTAGAGGTGTTTGGGGATTAATGCTGTCATGCAGTGCATCACCCAGTACACAGTACACACCCTCACTTGAAGCCTTTTCTTTCTCGTTAACCTGAAAGTGCCAGTTCCTGGGGGTTAATTACCACACAGGTTTTAACTGGGTTCTATAATAGTGCCTGAGAGACAAGTCTTCTTATTCCTATTTTCCAGGTAAAAATACAGCTTTTATGATTTTATCTGGATGTCTTCTGTGAATTTACCTTAGGTATTAAGTCTTGAAAAGAAAGTGGGATTCTTAGGATAGAAAGTAGGGCAGTGTGAGTGTGGTGAGATGGGCCAGGCCCAAGCAAGGGAGAGGGTGACAGTTCTGAAAGGGGTGGAGTGATGACTCAGACCCTTCCAGAGAGCAGAACATCAGGTGTGGGTGAGGGCTCCTGCTGTGAGCAAGTTGAGAGCAAACTGGAAATGCTTGTATTTATTGTCAATTTTTTTAAACATGGCACCATGTAGTCCATACTGTTCTCATACTCAATATATAGCTGAGGATGACTTTGTAGCTTTTCCTTTTTAAGATGTATTTGTGCTGGGCGTTGGTGGCGCACATCTTTAATCCCAACACTGGGGAGGCAGAAGCAGGTGGATCTCTATGAGTTTGAGGCCAGCCTGGTCTACAAAAGCTAGTTCCAGGACAGCCTCCAAAACAATACAGAGAAACCCTGTGTCGAACCCCCCCCCCAAAAAAGATGTATTTGTATGAGTGTTTGACTGCATGTACAACATGTTCCATGTATGTGCTTGGTGTGCAGAGGCCAGAGTTTCTCTGGCTGTGAGCAGCCATGTGGGTACCATGAACTGAACTTGGTCCTCTCCAAGAGCAGCCACCTCTCCAGTCCTGACTTTGAACTTTTGATCCTCCTGCCTCCATCTCCCAAATGCTAGATTACAGACATGCACTACCATACCTAGTTTATGTGGTGCTGGAGCTCAAACCCAGTGTTTCATGCATGCTACAAAAGCACTCTATCAAATGAGATATATTCCTAGCCCCCATTCCACTCTGCCTGTTATAGCAAATGTGTACCTACCTTTCTGTGAATACATTTTAATTTTCCCTTGCCCAATTTGTGGCCAGCTCCTGGCTGACAGCACCTCATCTGTTGATGGCTACAGGAGTGCTTATGTCTCTACCTTCTATCCTCAGAGCAACGGTGATGGGGACCCCAGCCTCTGTGGTGAGCGAGCCACCCCTGTGGCAGGTCTCAACTGAGGCCCGGGGGCGAAAGCAGGCCTCTGCTAACATCTTCCAGGATGCGGAGCTGGTGCAGATCCAGGGCCTGTTCCAGCGCAGTGGGGACCAGCTGGCTGAAGAGCGGGCCCAGATCATCTGGGAATGTGCGGGGGATCACCGTGTGGCTGAGGCCCTAAGAAGACTGCGCAGGAAAAGGCCCCCAAGGCAGAACCACTGTAGTCGGCTGAGGTAGGGGCCTGGGACTGGAGGTCTGAGGGAAAAGATAGAAGGGATGCCAGCCCACTGCTCTGGCTCTGTGACCTTGAACCGGTGACTAGGCCTTACTGTGAGGTACCTACGGCTCATGCTATATTGCTGTGGCACCTAAGACTGTTGTTATGTTGGAGTCACATCTGTGATCCTCATGGAAAAGAAAGCCCAGTTGAAGCAGAACTACCAAATTCTGTAACTCCTGCAAGCCAGCAGAAGAGAGTATTGTTGGAAAGACAAAAAATTCCCAGCAGACTGGGTTACATTCCAAGGCAAGCCTGGTTAAAGCCTGCTGAGGGACTACAGAGAAGAGATCTCAGCAGGTATTATGGAGATCTTATGGGGACAAGCAATAGTTTCTCTGGCCATGTCACTGCCAGCCCAGGAGAAATGGGCCCCAGGGAACCTAGGTAAAACAAACCATCAGTGCAAGTTTCCCCGCTAGGATCATCCCCTCAGTCTGAACAGCAGGGACTGAATAGGTCCTCGGGTCTAAGATGGCAAGCTAGTCTTTATTGCTTGCATTAACTGATGTCATTTATGCCTGATTTATGATGCCATGAATGATAGAAAAAGGTCAGGAGACTTGCTGAGTGTCACATTCCCTGGCCTTAACATACAGAGTTGCAAAGAATTGCTTCACCCGACATACAGTTCTTGGTACTCTTTATTCTAAGCAGCATTTTATAGTGATAAAACTTGTAAGGCTCTCCGTGTTGATGCTGGCTTATAACACTCTTGTTCCCAACAGAGCGCCAGAGCCTGGTTCTACAGTGGTCGACCCACAGGACAGCACCACCGACATGGCTTCCGGCGAGCAGTTTGGGAACTCCCGGAGGACAAGTGCCAGAGTCCACCGAAGCTGGAATAAGCCGGGTCCCACAGGTTACCTCCACCAGATCAGACACTGACCCAGTGAAGGGGTGGGGAGGTCCTCCCCAGATGTTGCAGGGACTTTGCCAAAGGGCTTATGGAGTAGCAAGGAGGGGCATGAGCAGGGCCGTGTCTAAGTGATGACAGCGGTAATGGGACTGTTGTCCTCGATTCAGATCAGAACCAGAACCAGCATTCACTGAACTCTGCACTATGTAGAACTTTTTTTTTTTTTACTTTAGTTTTTTGAAAGCGGGTTTCTCTGTAGCTTTGAAGCCTGTACTAGCACTCACTCTGTAGACCAGGCTGGCCTCGAACTCAGAGATCTGCCTGTCTCTGCCTCCCAAGTGCTGGGATCAAAGACGTGCGCCACCACCGCCTGGCCCGGAACAAGGCCCAGGGATAACAAGGCTGCTCATGCCTCAGACCTAACAGTATACCTGGGCTGCATGGCGTTCCCCTGGGATGAAAGTAATACACACTGAGATGCAGCATCTCGCCACTTCTGTCACTAACTGCCAGCTACTGTCACCATAAAGCAGCCAGCTGTCTCAGACCCTGTGTCATGGCCAGTACAAAGGGAAAACTTGTTTAAGTGGAAAATAAAAACATTTACATCAAGATTTCTGTGAGTCTGTTACAGAAGAGAATCCCAAGATAGAGACTTCCCTATTGTGCCAGATAGGGAAGGACAGGGTATTCCCAAGGAGACCCAGAGCTACAGCTTCCTCTTCCAGGTGTGTATGTTGCAAGGAAACTATCTCTCAGAAGGCAACATGAAGGCCCAAGGGCCCAACCATACTCAGGTGGGGTGGACAGGAACAATCAATCACTCTTACACACCACACTATGGCCTCGTAACCTAGAGGTGAGGGGGGCTCTTCCTACTATTCTAAACTACTACAGGCACACGGGCATTCCCCTTCCCCACCAACCAGTACCCTCAGGGACAGTGGTGCTACCTATATGGCAAGACTGCCCTCTGCTGGTGGAGGAGAAAAGCCAACCTCTCTAAATTAGCTTCAATCTGCCTAGTGCTGCAGCCCTTTAATACAGTTCCTCATGTTGTGCTTCCCCAACCATAAAATTCTTTTCCATTACTACTTCATAACTGTACTTTTGCTGCTGCCATGTCTCTGATTTCTGATGGTCTTAGGTGACCCCTGTGAAAGGGTCATTTGGACACAAAACCCCAGGCATTGCAACCCATGGGTTGAGAACCACTGCTCTACACTTAATCCCAGAATTTGACTCAAGGAAGTGGCCAGGGCAAATACTATAGAGCCCCTACCAGAGAAAAGTTTGTAACAAACATTTATATAAAAAACAAGCTTGTGTCCTATAAATAGACTCAGGTCAGGTTTTAAAATGTCTTGGGAAAACACTGTTTTCTCTGTAACTCCATGAAAATATGTTTCTTTGCCTTAAAATTGCATTTACCTTATCTTCCTTCCCCCAAAGAAAACTGGACCAAGAGATCAGAACTGGATTTGTTATTCATACATTTGCATTGATTTAAATACAATACATACAATTTCTACAGTGCATTAGAAGAACAGGGCAGCAGTGCTCACCAACCAGCTTCCACTTCTAGACATGGGACAGGCTGGCAGGGGACGGCTGTTCTGGAAGTGCCTGACACTCTGGGTTCTTGGCACTCCCAAAGTCTCCACATTCAAGGCAACCTGAGTACAGGCTTCAAGCAGACAGGCAGGGAAGGACGCCTGCACCCTTGCCCATCAGGCCTGGCACTGGCTCCCTCTTACATTGGACCCAATTCCTCCTGATGGCAGAGCTGGTCTGGAGCAGGACGGTGCACAAGAGCCTGGTGGAGCCCCAGGCTCTCTCCAGGCATCTCGGGCTCTCTCCAGCACCCCAGGGGGGTCTCGCCAGCAGGCTGGTGTGAAGAATGTCACGTACCTGGACCCCTGCAGGCTCCTGTGATCAGGAGGCAGGAGTCCTCCCAAACATGGTTCTGAGACCAGAGTCCAAGTGGGCTGGCGGGGATTGTCAGGATGGGGCAAACAACGGTGCCTTCGTCCACAGGGCATGCATATCCAGTGCTCAGAGACTCATGTTGGCTAAGTGGAAGCTGACAGTAAGCTGGCTCCTAGGTTGGACTGGATGGGGAGCAGCCTGCCCCAGCTGATGGGAGAGCTGTGTGCCTCTGCTCTGTCGCCTGGATAGTGAGAGCCAGGCAAGCGGATGAGACATACAGCTGTGGTCCTCATTCCCTTTCTTTGGTTTTTTTTTCAAGCCTTCAAGACAATTTCTTTCCAAGGCTGACTGACCAATTGTAGAATGTGAGAACCCTCAGGGGTCCACAGCACAGGGTGTGAACACTGCTGCCTCGCAGCCACAGGTGGCCCTCTTTTTACTCCCTCCTGAAGCCCAACTCTTCACTTTGGTGTAGACAGGGAGGAGACAGGGCAGCAGGAAGACGCACGCTGAGCTGGGCAGGCACTGGGGGACTGTGTGAAGGCCTCTCTTCAGGAAGCTGAGGAGAAAGCAGCCCAGGACAGGAAGGCAGGAAGCTGTGGGGCACTGCCAGTTAGGAGGCAGAACCAGGTCCTGTTGCTTTCCAGGCATCAGGGTAACAGGAAGAACAAAGACACTGTCCTGGCCGCTCATGAACTGGCTGACCCACAACCCCGAGAGAACCACTGCAGAACCAAAACTGACAGAAACCAAGTAGAAAAGCATGGAGACTAAGGAAGGGCCTGGAAGTGAGGCTGTGCCAGGCTCCCATGGACACTCCTCCTAGCACCCAGCATGCACTTAGGCTACATCAATCACCTCCACATGCTCCTAGCAGAACAGAACTGCCAAGGCTAGCCTCTCCCATTTCAGCTGAGTGCTAGGCAAGCAGCAGCAGGGCAGAGGACAGAAAGATTGTGTGCAGAACCTCTGACACGTACAGAGCTAAAGCCTGCTCACTGCCACAAGAAGCTAGTGCCACAGTGTGGCAGCGGGAGGATCAGTTTGGCAAAAACAGAAAGGAGAGGTGTGGCTTCTGTCTGTGGGCCAGCAATGGGCCTCGGACACAGCTCAGTCCATGGGAGTAAACAACTGCTAGGCATCAGAGCATGTCTAAGCAAACTTAGCTCTAGATAAGGGCTTCTGACTCGAGAGGATCAAATCTGGGTTTTCCTGTAAGCATTTGTTTCTGTTGTTTGTTTCTTTCTGATGCAGAATGTAACAGGGAACTGGGATGGAGAGGCTGTCGGGATGGGACTTTCCCAGCCTGCCACCAGATGCTGGGAAGCAGTTGCTCCTCCTCCTCAGCCAGCTTTCCACCAGCCTCCCCAATACTCTGAAGGGTCCAGGCTACTCTTGTCTCTGACGGTGCTCCTCCCTGTGGGTGGGAAGGCCCTGAGGGAGGGGGCAAGCAGAGAGGAAGGGCCTGAAAGGCTCACAGTGCACCAGCCTCTTCCTCTCCAGGCTTGCTCTCTCCTGTCACCTGCAGGGTCCCTTCTGCCTCCCCTAGGGCTACCACCATGAAAAGAAGGGCTTCCGACTCTGAAAGCTCTGTGTGTAGGATTCACTCGCAGACCGCTGATGGGATCGGGCTGTTTCAACAATCACAGGTGGCATCTGGACAAGGTGCAGGGGACTCTTATTGTCTTTTAGGGCCTGGGTCAAATTTAGGATCTGCATTGAAAGAAACAAAAATGGGTGAGAGAATCCTAATATCCAAGCCTGCCTCTACAAAGAGCACCCCTCTTTCAAATCAAAATAAATACCAATGAGATATCACAGAAGCAGGCTGTTTACCAAAGTAGGAATACAGGGCTGGAGAGGCAGCTCGGTGGCTAAGGGTGTGTGCTGCTCTTGCAGAGGCCCTGAGTTCAGTTCCTAGCACCCGTGTCAGGGGGATCACAGCACCTGAAACTCCAGCTTGTCTCCTGGACTATGAAGGCACCACACTCACAGCGACAAACACAGATACGCACACAGAATTTTAAATGAAAATTTTAAAATTTAGGGGCTAGAGAAATGGCTCATAGTTAAAAAGCACTGGCTGCTCTTCCATAGTACCTGGGTTCAATTCCCAGCAACCACATGGTGGCTCATAACCATCTGTGATCCCAGTTCCAGGGAATCTAACACCTGCTTCCCAGCCTTTATGGACACCAGTCACACAAGCAGGGTGCAGATATACATACAAGCAAAAACACCCATACAATAAAATTAAAATAATCCCTAAAAAAATTAAGAGAATGTAGGTGTATAAATGGGCAATACATAGACAGTGGACACAACCTCACCAACAATATTTTAAAACACTGTATCTGCCTGTAGTTCCAATTTCAGAAGGGAAGGTTGGGAAGGTTGCTTGAGGGCCAGGAATCTGAATCCCAATTGGATATTATGGTGAGACCCTTAAAACAAACAAGCAGCCAGGTATTGGTGGCACACACCTTTAATCCCAGCACTTGGGAGGCAACGGCAGGCAAATCTCAGTGAGTTCGAGGCCAGTCTGGCCTACAAGAGCTAGTTCCAGGACAGCCTCCAAAGCCACAGAGAAACCCTGTCTTGAAAAACCAAAACCAAACAAACAAACAAAAAACCCCAAGCAAACAAAGAAGTAGAAACCCAGTGAAAACAAATACTTTTTTTTAACCCTTTAAGGCCATAAAACAGGAAATATGACCCAGAAGGTGGAGAGTTCAAAGAAACAAGGCTGCATGGCTGTGGGGCTGGAATGTGGGATAATTACAGGGGTACACTGAAAATAAAGCTCCCTTTGACACTGAGGCCCCCTCCCCTTTATAATCTGTGGTGCTGGAGGCCAAACCTGAGCTTCATATGCCCAGGCAGATGCTCTTCAGCTAAGCCTTTCCTACCTCAGCCTCAAAAAGATCGAGTATCAACGTGCCTGGCCTTGTCATTTTGCAGGGTGGGTAAACTGGCTAAGTGTGTATGACTAAGCAAAACCATGATTCTGAGTCAGGAGGCCAGGACACAGTCCTACCCTATGATTATTTATCCACAGTCCATCAGCAGATCCAAAAAGTTTCAAAACAAGTGACATAAAGTCAGATTACTTTTCTAGGTTCCTTGTAAGTTTCTTCTCCAATGTCCTTTGCCAGAACACACTGTAGGTCTGCCCCTGGGTATGCAATCAAACTGCAATTCCTATGTTCAAACCAATGCTTTCTTTGCTTATATTATATCACAGCCTGCTGCTTTTTTTCTGCCAACAGTTTTAAAATGCAAAAGCTGTTCCAAAAGCATTAAGAATATGAGGTAGAAAGATAAAATTTCACCTGCTATTCTCCTCTACCTTTTGCTACCCTAGATGACGACCTTAGCTGGGTGTAATGTGAAGGCTGCTACAGTGTTGGCAAGGGACTGAGATGAGAAAGGTAGTGACAATGAGGGAAAGCTGGTAGGCTGACCAACCCAGTCACCACCCAGGCCCAGAAGCAGGGCTGAGTTAGTTAGCCTCCAGACAGACCAATGACTCGGGGCAATGATCATCTCTCCAGCCCCTGAGCATTCTTTAATTTATACAACACCTACAATTTTGTTTTGTTCTTGAGATAGGATCTAACTACACAGTCCTGGCTGCCCTGGAATTCACTATGTAGAACAGGCTGGTCCCTGACAATGTTCCGTTTCTACAGCTCCCTCTGAAGATGAAGTTGAAAGGAAGTATAATACAACTTGTAACTCAAACAATTAAATTATAACCATACAAGTGTCAGCGTACTTACCATGTGCCAGGCAACATTTTTTCTCATTTCTTACCATGAATTCTCTCATGCACTTGTCCACAACAAGTGGTACAGTTACTACCCTATTCTATAAACAAGAAAATTCAGACTCATATCCAGCATCACAGAACCTGTAACTGGTGGGGTGACCCGGCTCAGAGCCTAGTTCTCAGCCACCTAGGCATGCAACCTTGAGCAGCTCAAGGCCAGAGTATGCTTGGTTTATTTACCAATAATGTACCCAGCAACTAGTATAGGGATAAACATTCAGGGAGTGCGGCAGCAAACACGGATTGGTATCAACACTATGGAAGAGGAAGGGAATTGCAGGCTACCTTTCCTCTCCTGTATTTTAGGGCAGAGTCACAAACACACAGGGCATACATACACTTGATGTCCCAGGCTTACCTGGCCCCTCATGACAGCAATCTGCTTATGGAACTGGCCCCTGTCGAAACCAGGATCTTTCTGTAAGAGAAAGGTAGAGGAAGATGATGGAACTCACATGAATGCTTCCCAGGAACCTAGTTTTTCTCCCCCAATTAAGTAGTTTATTAAGTACATTGCAAGGAAGCAGTGGGCTGGGAAGTAACTAGAGTATTTCCTGCCCCTTAGGATCCTGAACTTTGGATCCTTCTGCCTCCCACTGCTAAGAGCTACACCACACAGGATCTAGATGGTGCTGGAGATGGAATCCAGGGCTTTCTGTATCCTAAGTAAGCACTCTACAAACCGAGTTACATCATCCCAGCGCCAGGGCTGCCATTTCTTTTAATCCTCACAAACCAGCTTCAGCTGGTATATAGTAACCCTGCTCTTCTGGCTAACTCAAGTCAGTTAAGTGTGAGACAGTATCTTTCTTGGCTTGTTCTGGACTAATTAGATGAACCACGGAGAATGCCTTTCTCCTGGGGGCTGACCTTAAAGAGTTCATATAGGTCCTCTTCCAAGTCCTTGACGAAGTTAGGGTCTGAAATCTTTGGAAGGATCAACTCTTTGATCTCCTGGGAGAATGGGACTTTTGCCTGGGGTAACCAGGCCCAGTAAAAAGGATCTGAAAAGAGAAAAAGCTCAAAGCAAAGCTGATGCTAGAAACCTCCCCCATCCTGGGTCTGCCAAGGAGAAAACAATTCTTCCCTGATATACACAGAAAATCAACAAAATCCATTTCCACCAAGTACTGCTGACCCTAAGACTGCATGACTAGTAAGCACAGGACTCAAGAGCCACTCCCAGAGCTGCCTAATCTCAGAGCTTTTTCCCACAAAGAAGCCTATTTAGATGTAACTACTTGCTAGATTTCAGATGATCCTGAAAATGACTGCTGGTGCTACAAAAGGAGCTGGTGACTCCTACTGGCATTTCTTTTCCTTTCCACAGATTCTCAGTTAAAATGGGGTGTGGAGTACACCAAGGAAGACAGGACATTGGCAGCAATTTATCTGCAGAAACCCAAATGAAGTAACTTATGAAAAGATGAGTTTTTTAAGAATGCAAAGTGACTGGGATGATGGTGGCACACGCCTTTAATTCCAGCACTGGGGGAAACAGAAGCAGGTGGATCTGTGAGTTTGAGGCCAGCCTGGTCTACAAAACGACTTCCAGGACAGGCAGGGTTGTTACACAGGGAAACCCTGTTTTGACAGGGGGAAAAAAGGATGCAAAGAGGAAATAAGAAAACTCACCTTTATACTGATTTATTATTTACTTTGCAGAAACTGGGATGGAACCCAGGGGCCTTATACATGCCACACAGGCAGCCCATATGCTTCTACTGTCTCATTAACCATTACTCCAGTAGAAATAATAAATGGTAAAAATTATAATAGTTTCTAATATGGAACAGTTGCCATATGCTGGGGCCACTGTGTAAAAGGCCAGAGGCTACAGTATTTTATCAATTCTTAGACCAAACCTGCTGTAGCAATGGCTCAGAGCACAGCCCACTGCTCTTAACTTACATGCCCTCCAGGAGTCAGGGTGCTTCAGTGGGAAAGCTAGCCCATTGTCTATGGCAGCCACCTTGATGACAGGCTCCTTCACCACCACCCAATCTGTCTCCTACAGAAAAAAAGAGAGACTTTCTCAGGCCCTTTAAAATAGCAGCAAGAAGGGGGAAAAGGAATGGTTTACACCTTCAACCCTAGTACTCAGGAGGCAGAGGCAGGAGGACCTCTGTGAGTTCAAAGCTACCCTGATCAACACAGTGAGTTCCAGGACAGCCAGGGCTACACAGAGAAACCCTGCCTCAAAAACTCCAATAAAACAGTAACAAGACACCTCATCTCAGCCCTCCTTCAGCTTACTCAAGTCTAACCTCTACTGGTCTCATCCTGTTTTCTGGACTTAGTGCATTAGTGCATCTGCCTCATTTATAATCTGCTCAAGGTTCTCAGGAGTGTCCACTCCTAGAGACAAGGTTCTTACTGTACTGCTCAGGCTGGTCTCCACCTCCTGAGTGCTGGAATTACAGGTGTGTATCATGCACACTGCGAGAGGCCCTTGATCATCATGTGACATGTACATTTGCGTGCCTTGACAGGAACTGAGTAGAAAGACAGAGCAGCCTTGGAGGCTACACCAGGGACACTATGTCTACTTAGTTCCACAATTTCTTTAGGCTCCACTAGGGTCACCACAGGAACAGGAATTGCAACTCCAAGATCCCTGCATCAGAATTTCCTGGTGTTGAGGCTGAAGAGACCACTCAGAGGTTAAGAGCATTGTCCTGCTTTTCCAGGACATAGGTTTGACTCCCAGGACCGGGTAGTGGCATACAGCCATCTGCAAATCATATGCACTCTTCTGGCTTCTGAAGGCACCAGGCACACGTGTGGTGTACAGACATGTGTAGGCAAAGCACTCATACACATGAAATGAATCTCAAAAGAAAAAAACTTAAAGGAAAAGGCTTTGAAGCAGCTTTTTCTAAACTTGTGGAATCTGAGTCCTCAGGAGCCACTGGGTAGACAGCATTAGGCAGATTCATTTAATGCAATACTTTCCAACCTTTACTACGCCACGGTGCAGCATGCAGCTCACAGGAAAGAGTATGCAGTGTGCTTCAAAGTTACTCCTTTTCTTGATGCTATTCCAATGACTGTTACCCAGCAGGGTGGTCCTTAAAACACATTGAAAAAAACTACACCAAGTATTAACTTTAAACTCCTGTGTTTCTCTGACTCTTTTGAATTTTTGTGACCTAAATCTTTATTCTGTGTTTCTACTGTTTAAGGGTTACTCCTCCCCCCCATGGAGATATAGATCAACCTCTTACCCGACAGCTAGAATTATCCATTGGGCAATCATATTTAATCAGCCAATTGTCGTTACCTCGGTCTGCAAACGGAAACATAAAGTTAATAGAAATAACCTGTCTGATTTTAGAAATGATGGCTTAAGCACTTAGGCCCACCCCTCAAACTGAGACCAACTACAGGGCAGATAAAACATTTTAAGATCCCTGGAAAATTATAAAAATTTGGAGTCAGCCAGGCGTTGGTGGTGCACGCCTTTGATCCCAGCACTCGGGAGGCAGAGACAGGCAGATCTCTGTGAGTTCGACGCCAGCCTGGTCTACAGAGCGAGTTCCAGGACAGCCTCCAAAACAATACAGAGGAAACCCTGTTTCAAAAAAACCAAAAAATTAATTAATTAATTAATTTAAAAAAATAAAAATTTTGGGAGTCAAAATCCCAGTACTCAGGAGGCTGCAGCAAGAGAATCTTAAATTTAAGGCCAGCCTAGCTTATTTACTACAAGACTGTCTGGAGGAATGGAAAAAAGAAGGGAAAAAATCTAAGAGCTGGGTCCAGGAGAGAAAGAGCACCCACAGAAAGAAGCCAGCCCTTATAGCTTCTGTAGCCTACTGACTGATTTGGGAGGAGGGGACCAGAAGGCTGGGAAGTGGCCTTACTTATAGTCTTGTGGCTCTAGACAGCAAAAACTTGCCGCCCATCTTGGGAACAAACCAAGCTGCTCCTCAATACCTGAGGCTAAGGTGACCCTGGGCTGCTGGTGACTTAGGCACTGGCAGGCATAACTGTCATACCCCAGACCAGAATTTTTCTAGGAGTTTTACAGTTTCTGACTATCTGATTAACCAAGCACAGAGACAAAAAACAACACAATAAAGAAGTGTCAATAGAGAGCTGCAAAGCAAGGGGGACATCTGACATAGTAAAATATTTATCATCTTCAGGAAGATAAAACACACAGACAGGAGGTACATGCCTACAATGCCAGCACACAGGTGTAGGCAGGAAGATCAGGAGTTCAAGGTCAGCCTGGGCTAAGTAAGACTCTGCCTCAAAAACACCTGGGGAAAAAGTAAGATTAAAAGCAAGACTAAAATATCAGCAGAAAACGATAGAAAATAATATATATTAAAAAAAAAAAAGAATCAAGAGCCAGGCGTTGGTGGCGCAGGCCTTTAATCCCAGCACTCGGGAGGCAGAGACAGGCGGATCTCTGTGAGTTCGAGGCCAGCCTGGTCTACCGAGTGAGTTCCCGGACAGCCTCCAAAACAATACAGAGAAACCCTGTCTCGAAAAACCAAAAAAAAGAGAACCAAGAAGAATTTGAGAACTGAAAAAATCACAACCATGGGAATTAGAACTCAAGCTATACAGGTTGGTAGAGCACATCTTTAGTCCCAACACTTGGGAAACAGGGATCTCTTCAAGTCCCAGTCTTGTCTACATGGCAAGTTCCAGGACAGTTGGAGCTACAAAGTGAGACACTGTCTCAAAAGAACAGCAAAAGAGGAGAGAAAGAGGGTCAGTCAGAAGGCTGATGTAGAAAGATCATGAGTTAACACCAAACCAGTCTGGGTTATGCTATGGAAAGGCCACCCACAGATACACACACCCAAAGCAAACAAAAAGATTTGTCAAAATGAAAATGAGTCTGGTAAGCCTTTTTTTTTTGGGGGGGTTCCAGATAGGAGGGTGTCTCTATGTAGTCCTGGCTGGCCTGAAACTCACTCTGTAAACCAGGCTGGCCTCGAACTCAAAGAGATCTACCTGCCTCTGCCTTCTGAGTGTTGAGATTATTAAAGGTTTGTGCTGTGGCTACCTCCTGGCGTAAGCCATTAATTTTTTTTTTTTTTTTTTTTTGGTTTTTCGAGACAGGGTTTCTCTGTGGCTTTGGAGGCTGTCCTGGAACTCACTTTGTAGACCAGGCTGGCCTCGAACTCACAGAGATCCACCTGCCTCTGCCTCCCAAGTGCTGGGATTAAAGGCGTGCGCCACCAACGCCCAGCAATTTTTTTTTAAAGATGTATGTATTTAGTACATATATTGTTCTGCCTGCATGTATCCCTGCAGGGCAGAAGAGGACACCAGATCTCATTACAGATGGCTGTGAGCCATCATGAGGTTGTTGGGAATTGACCAAAGACCTCTGGAAGACCATGAAGCCATTTCTCCAACGCTGGTAAGCCATATTCTTAAAGATGAACACACATTATGAATAAAATATCCCTGTAGGTGGGCAAAGTATTCTTGTAGTGGGTATAGTGTCACAAGCCTATAATCCTGACATTAGTGAGGCCTGAGGCAGGAAGAGCGAACATACATGGCCAGTACAGGTAGAAGATATCTCAAAAAAAAAAAAAAAAAAAAAGAGTAGGGAGAAGAAAGGAATGGGGAAGTAAAAGAGGCAAAGAAGAGGAGGAGAATGGGGGGGATGAGGAAACAATAATACTGGATAATTCTGCAACTTGAGGAAAAGTTAATGATTTTTACAAAACCTCACATTTACCTCTTATTTTTTCCTCCCTTTAGCAATTAAGAAACTACTTTCTGTGTTGTCTAAGACTAAACAAATAAGTAAATTTATTATATTTTTTCTGGATTTATTGTATTGTAAATAGTTGTGATGAGAGCCTGGTCTGTATCAGGAAAGGAATTATAAATTAAACAGAAAGGCAGCTAAAATGAGCCTGGAGTCTGAATGAAAATGCAGGTATTCATATGAACTCATAAATTCTCATAGCTATAAATATACCCTCTTCCAGTAAAAGGAACATAGAAGAAATGACAGATTCCAGCTTGAGACTAAAGATGAACCCAGAACATCTTGTGCTAGAAATTAAGGAAGTGTTCATAACAGATACAGAAGAGCACATGAGCGCTGACCAAATCAGGGACAATTTAAGCATCAAAATAAATAAGAATAGAAAATGAATAAATGAATGAAAATTCTGTTGCTGGGTGCTGCACACTATTAGTCTCAGCCCTCAGGTAGAGAGGTGGGCCTCGGTGAGTATTCTCATTTTGCAGTTAAGTATTTACAGGTATAAATCTATCATGAAATACTCTGCTGGTATGTTCTGTACATTTTGGTAAGGTTTGTTTCAGTGTCTCTTAAGCTTTTCTTAGTGACCATTGTGATTTCTTCTTTCATCCTTTGGTTATGCAATTTTGTAAATTTTCTATTTTCCTTTTTTTGGGGGGGCAAGGTCACACCTTGTAGTCCAGGCTGTTCTGGAATTTGCTGTGTAGCTCAGGCTAGTCCAGAACTCATTGCACTATTTCTTCATTCCTGGAATACAGGCATGAGCTGCTGTGCCCAGTTTTCCAGTTTTCTATTTGCTACTGCTTGGTTATTAACTTTATTTCATAGCTTTCTTTTATTTATAGCTTTGCTTCCTGTTGTTTCTGTTACCCATGGTTAACTGCTCTGAAAATATTAAACAAAAAGGTCCAGAAATAAATAATGCATAAGTTTTATATAACTAAAACAAAAACTCCCTTCTGAGTAGAGTCAAGTTTCTTGTTGTCTCGCCCAGGATGTGGATCACCCCTTTGTCCAGCGTATCTGCACTGCAGAGTGACCCATCTGTCAGTCAGTTTTAGTGATCTCAGCTATTCCCTTAGCTGTGGCCATAAGAAGCCCTTTGCTGAATAGTAGGTCCTAAATACAACACTAACAACTGGGACACACCAAAGAAAAGCTGTAAAGTATTTTCTTTAAGTGAAAAGGTAAGGAAAATAGAAAACTTACAAAATTACATAACCAAAGAATGAAAAAAAAAATCACAATGGTAACTAAGAAAAGCTTAAGAGACAATGAAAGAAATATATACCTTACCAAACTGTACAGAACATAACAGTAGGATATTTAGTGATAGATTTATAGTGATAAATGCTTACCCTGCAAAGTGAGAAAGCTTACAAATAACAGTTCCACCTAATCTCTTGCAGAGTAGAAAGAAGAACAAACTGAACTGAGAGCTACAACACTGGGCCAGAAGTACACTGAACAGACAATCAACAAACAACAGAAAAGCAGTGACACCAAAAGCTGGTCTTTAGGAGCACCAGTGGTGGCACATGCCTTTAGTCATGCCACTCAGGAGGCAGATGCAGAGGATCTTGGTGAGACTGAGACCAGCCTGGTCCACATAGATAGTTCCACGACAGCCAGAGTCACATGGTGAAACCCTATCTCAAAAACCCAAAACATACAAGCAAACCTTCAGCTAGATGGAATAAGGGGGGGGGGGCCTCAAAAATGAAAGTACAAATATTACCAATAATTCTAAAAAAAAAAGAATTTAACACTAAAAACAACTTTATGACTCAATGACCCAGATGATACAGAAAAAGTTCTAGACACACAAAACCTGTTATGATTAAACCACCAAAAAAAAAAAAATCAGAAAATCTCCTAAGGAGATAGATTAGTAATCAAAAACTCCCTGCTACATGTAGATTTGGTCAGGTCTGACGAATTCAAGTTCACCGGCATATTAAAAAATATATAAGAATATTCCAGGTGTCATAGCCCACTTAATCAGTTAGATCTCTGAGTTCATGGCCAAGACTGGTTTACACAGAGTCCCAGTACAACCAGTGATAAATAGAGAAACCCTTTTCAAAAAACAGAAAGTCATAAAAAGACAATACTGCCTTATTCAATCTCTAAGAATGTCTAGGAATCAGGAATGAATGCACTTTTCACAGTGCTTTGGAAAAGCCAAGTAAATCCTAATCCCAGGCCTCACTACATCTCGTAACTTGCAGATACTATATCTAAACAAAATTTAGCCCAGAAAATTGGTCTTCCAGGCCCTCTAAACATGTCTGCCCATTTGAACAGAGGAATGCCATCCTCACAAGGTACTGAGTCTGGCTCCTACAGACCTGCAGGCCCACCTCAACCCTCAGAAGCCTGGCACAAGGCATGGAGCATGCCTGGCTGCTCACCAGTGTTGCGAATGATGTAGTCCAGCACCACCAAACGCTCAAACTGCAACAGTAGTTGTCGGTTAGTGTTCTCAGGGAGAGGCTCTGCTTCAAAACGCCGCAGCCAATAGTCTGCATCTTTGTAGCCTTCAACAAAGAGCTGGAATGACCCGACCTACAACCCGATGGAAGGAACAAAATCATATCTGTAGAGGCCACGTTAAAGACCACAGGAGTAAGGAGGAGACCCACAACAACTCTGTGGAGTTCAGTCAAAGAAGAGGAACGTTCTACAAGTATCACGCCTTCATTTCCTTGTAAGGATAGGAGAAACAGAGTGGAAGAGGGTCAGCTACCCAAGCTGAAGAAGCCTAACCAAATGGTCTAGACACTAAAGGAATAAAGTGAGAACTCTGAGGTCACATTCCCTGGAGAGCTATTTCCCACCTTGAGATCTCTGACAGAAGTGAGAAAGAAGGAGGTCTTTCACATGCCCAATTCAAGTCTGTCGGTACCTGCTTCCCCCTCTTGAGTGATTATGCCACCATAGACCATCAACTTTGTTAAGTCAGATAGGGACAATCTATACCTTTGGTGGTAGTCCAATTCGGTTAAACCGCTGGCCAACTTTTGGCACTTTCTCTAGTGCAAGCCGCTTGCCCCTGGACTTTACTCGGTCAATGGCACTGTAGTTGAACGTTTCACTGGCCAGGTATACTACCTACAGGGGAAAGAGAAAAGATTTAGGTTAGGATAAGTTTAAGAAAGAAGACCACTGTTGCAGAAAACAGCTGGATGATCAGTAATAATGTTCCTCTTTCAGGGAAGAGAAAGCATTTCTCAGTCTTATGGTCCAGGGTAGTCAATACGGCTAATCTGGGGTAATAGAAAGTTGATAAAATTATATATATATATATATTACTTCTGAGTCTGGCCTCTAGAATCTCCCACAATTTTTCTTCAGTTCATATTTCCTTATCTGTGAAGCTGTAAATGAAGGGCTCTGAGGTGGCAAAGCCACACAATATTAACTATCTCATAACCTTTGTGATACGAATGACTTGGGCATGGAAATACATGTTTGCGATCACAGCATTTAAGAGGCAAAGCCAGGAAGTACCACACAAGGTTGAAGCCAGCCCAGTCTACTCAGTCAGTTCCTAGCCAGAATGAGCTATAGAGTGAGGCCTGATCTCAAAGGGGGAAGGGGAGGAAAGGAAATAAAAGAGGGAAAGGGAAGGGAGGGAGAAAAAGAGGAGAGAAGAAAAAAGAGCAACAAAGAAAAGAAAAGGGCTAGTGAGATGGTCCAGTGGGTAAGGGTTCTTCCACCAAACCTAACAACCTGAGTCTGGTTCCAGAACCAGTAACTGTGGAAAAAGAGCATCAACTCCCAGAAGCTGTCCTCTGACTCCCACACGTGAGCCTTGGCATTATGTGCTCCCTGCTATGCAAAATAAATAAATGTAGAAAGAAAAGGGGGGGGGTTTCTTAACACTATTTTCCACCAGGTGTTGCACTCAGGAGGCAAAGGCAGGTAGATATTTGTGAGTTTGAGGCCAGCCTCGTCTACAAAGAGAGTTCCAGGACAGCCAAGACTGTTACACAGAGAAACCCCATCTCAAAAAGAAAAAAAAAGCAATTTTCCCAGTTTCCACTTAGAAACCCTGGCTTGTTCCCACAGTAAAGCCTCTCTTCCCTGCCATCAGGTTCATTTGCAGCTCTTTTTCCCAGCACAGCACTCTTCCCTGTATGACGAATGAAACTTTCACTAGCTCACAGGAACAAGGGACAAAACAGCCAGTGACTGAGAACTACAACTTTACTATTTGAAGCACCTTTACAACCTTCACAACATGGGCCCTGTTTCCAAAGTGACAGATGCTCTGATCAGCTGGATAGAATCCTTTCACAAGAATAGATCTGGAAGAGGGTTCTAACTTCTCTGGGTTTGTGGACTGTAGGCTGGGTATCCTTTGCTTTATGTCTGGTATCCACTTACGAGTGAGTACATGCTATATTTGTCTTTTTTTGGGCCTGTGTTACCTCACTCAGAATGGCTTTCTAGTTCTGTCCATTATTTGGAAAGAACTGCTGTCAGAATTCCTTAGTTGCCTGTAGATCTTTGTTCAGGCTTCAGGCCTTATGAGCTTCCCCCTTCCATGTTAGCATGTCTGTTGTGGAGGTCTTGTTCAGCTCATGTTTAGGCCATTTTGGTGAGACTTTAAGGATGTAGCTTCTGACATTCCTAGAAGACATCTTACAGTAAGCTCCCTATTCCTCTGGCTCTTTCAGTCTTTCCATCCACTTGCCCGTAAGAGTTGCCACATATTAGTTGGGACTATAGTCCACATCTCTGCATTTTGATCAGTTACAGTTTTCCATAACGGTCTCTGTCTGTGGCAGATAACTTTGCTTGGTGAAGGGTCTTATGGTGTTTTTATAAGCTGTTTAATCATTAGGTATCCTTCCAGCTCCCTCATTAGAGAACATGAATGAGTTATGAGCCTTTCCTGCATCAGTGTCAACAACACAAAAACACTTGTCTTTCATGAGAAGCCCATAAATGTATATGAGGTACCTGTGGAATTCCTAAGATTGTATATAAAATGTATGTGTCCTTCTGTGAATAGCTTTCAGATGATCAAATTGTAAGCCTATCCCTACCACCCACTCCCAAAAGGTTGAGTATCCCAGATTTAAACAAGCCCTCCCTGAATCCTCTATTCCACTAAGAGAGATCAGGGCCCAGCAAACCTTTAGCAAAGCACTAAAGTTCCCAGAAATGGGTCACTGACCTTTGTACGGGGTACAATGTTGAGTTCCAGTTTTTGATCCACCAAGCTAGCCCCTGCTTCTGAGAGATAGCCCTGGTTGAGGACAAGGCAGTCACGGCCAAAGCAGCATGGACAACACAACTTCTGTAACCACTTGGTCCATTTAGGATTAAGCTGCCCGTATGGCTCTTCATTCTTGGGTTTGAAGACAGCAACGATCTTCTACATAGACAAAGAAAGAGAGGGTAGGGAAGGTGATTTGGAAGTCTTGGAGTAGCTGAGTAGTAGATCACATATTGACTCAGTGGAGACAGGCTGCTAGAAAGAGCTATGTCCAAGATAGCTCCTTATTCTTCTTGTTTCACTCCTTTGCTTTTCCCATCTCTCTTCTCTGATGTAACTCTGTGCTTCAAAGGAAATGGGTTTGCATGTTTCTAGGAGCAAAACCCAAAAGCCAACTTGGTAATACTTTTTTTTTTCTGAGATAGGGTTTCTCTCTGTGTAGCTCTGGCTGTCCTGGAACTCACAGAGATTCAACTGCCTCTGCTTCCTGAGTGCTGGGATTAAAAGCATGTACCATCACCACCTGGCTTGATTGATTCATCAATGGCCCCAAATTAATCATTTCCCCAAAACCGAAACATTAATTTACAACTAATCAATTGCTTATATTTTATTGTAAGAATTCCTGTTTCATTTATCCCCATTAACACTTTATTTTAGAGTGCCAGAAACTTAGTACATTCAAACTCCAACTTCCAGGGTGTATGTATGTGTATACAGTATCATTTCTATCAATTGCATACAGACTCAGGGCTGGAGAGATGGCTCAGCAGTTAAGAGCAAGTAGCAAGCTGAGCATCCCTGCAAATGCCTATGACCTAAGCTCCAAAAGGGTGCAGACAGTAGGATGCTGCGCTTGCTGGCTTCCAGTCTAGCAGAGAAAATGAAAGGACATGAAGTATTATGGAACCACCGTTAGCAGTGACACACTTCCTCTATCAGACTTATTATCCCATCTCTTGCATGTTAACAAAACTTTGAAAAAAAAAGAAGTTTAAGAAACACAATCTAACCAGGCATTGGTGGCGCACGCCTTTAATCCCAGCACTCGGGAGGCAGAGGCAGGCAGATCTCTGTGAGTTCAAGGCCAGTCTGGTCTACCAAGCGAGTTCCAGGACAGGCTCCAAAAACAATACAGAGAAACCCTGTCTCTTAATCTGTTTTGCTGGTCTTGTTTGTTTGTGGAGATAGGACAGGGTCTTATTGTGTAGCCTGGCTGGCTTGTAACTCATTATGAAGACCCTCTGACCTCAAACTCAGAGATCCACCTCTTGAGTGCTGAGATTAAAGGTGTGCTTCACCACACCTAGACTCTGAGTGTTTTCTTTCCCAGAACCTTAGGCCCTCTGGACTTATTTATCTCATTCCTTCCAGAATCCAAACAGGTAATTCAAAGGAAGAAAAGCAGATATGCTAACCAAGTGATTCATCTTATGACTCTTCTTCTTCCCTTAAATCACAGCCAACTCGGGATTGTTTGGGTCATAAGGCATAACTCAGGTCATAACTTCTTGAGTTAGGGTAGGTCACAGCAGACAACACAGACCCATCTGCCTCCATTAACTGAGTACCAGAGAACTTACTCATCCCATTTCTAACAAGTTAAATCTTGAAGCCAGCCTTGGTCTTCCTTCAACAAGATGATTGGACAGACTTAGTAGACTTCCTAGGGGAAGCCATACCCTCTCCAAGGAGCAGATGGAAGGTGGAGGGAGTAGTGGGGGGAGAGCAAAAAGAGAGGAGGGAGGGGGAATTGGGATTGGAATGTAAAATATAAATTAATAAAAAAAATGTTAAGGGGCTGGAGAGATGGCTCAGTGGTTAAGAGCACTGGCTGCTCTTCCAGAGGACCTGGGTTCAATTCCTAGCAACCATATGGCAGCTCACAGCTGTCTGTAACTCCAGTTCCATCAGATCTGGCATCCTCACACAGACATACATGCAGGCAAAACATCAATGTGCATAAAATAAAAATAAATAGTTTTAAAAAGAATCAGTGTAGCCGGGTGTTGGTGGTGCACACCTTTAATCCCAGCATTTGGGAGGCAGAGGCAGGTGGATCTCTGTGAGTTTGAGGCCAGCCTGGTCTACAGAGTGAGTTCCAGGACAGCCTCCAAAACAATACAGAGAAACCCTGTCTCGAAAAACAAAACAAAAAAAAGAATCAGTGTGATTCATTTTTTAAAAATGTTTTAAAAAATCTTGAAGGCTGGAGACATGGCTCAGAGGTTAAGAGCACCAGCTGCTCTTCCAGAGGTCCTGAGTTCAATTCCCAGCAACCACATGGTGGTTTACAACCATCTATAATGAGAGCTGGTCCCTTCTTCTTGTGTGCAGACACGCATGGAGGCAGGATGTCGTATTCATAATAAATAAATAAATCTTTAAAAAGAAATCTTGAAGCCAGATCCTTCAAACATTCCTTGCAAGGAGTTGAAAAGGCAAGATAAACCCAGAACTCTCTTTTTCCTTCCAGAATGAAACAATTTACTCTTAAAGTCAAACTTATTTGTTGGTAAAAGTAAAATATGAACTGTAAGTCTTTGTAATTACTCTTCATTTAAAGACAGTCTCACTATGTAGCCCTGGCTGGCCTGTAACTTGTTTTATAGACCAGACTAGTTGAACTCACAGAAATCTTCCTGCCTCTCTCTTCCTCTCTAGTGCTAGTATTAAAGGTGTGTGCTACCATGCCCTGCCACAGAATTACTTTCTCAACCAAAGTGGCTAGCACAGAGGCTAGCATGCTCATCTGGAACCCAGTCTCTGAAAACCAAAGCAGCCACAGACTCTCAGCTAAAAGCAGGGTTGGGAAGAATGGTGAAACAAACTCCTCAACAGTGCAGCTTGCAGCATCCAGCTTCCAGTGAGGGGGGTGAAGATTCCAGATACCAGTGAGGGCTGAGAAGTACCAGGAATAAATTAAATCCTTCCACTTAAAGAAAGCAGAACTTGAAGACCAAATTGCAAACAAGTGTCATTTATGTACTGACCTGCCAGGCTCCTCAATTTCCTCTTCAAAGGAAAAAAAAATTAAGGTTATCTCAGTCACACAAGGGCTTCATTGGAGAATACTGTCTGGATTAAATAATTGAGGGAATGAAAGGGGAGGGAGAATAGAGAACTAAAAGGACATTCAGAGAGAGGGAGACTAGGACTAAGAATAGACCTCAGTGTAATTCAGTTCTGCTTAAATTTGATCAGAACCTAGTCTGTGTGAGCACGTTGCAGGTTTCCTCAACAGACACAAAACAGCCTCTGCCCTAATTTCCAGAGCCTTATTGGCTGCATACAGTGAGCTATGCTACTGACTAATCAGCTGTGCGTTGGTGTCGCACACCTTTAATCCCAGCACTTGGGAGGCAGAGGCAGGCGGATCTCTGTGAGTTTGAGTCCAGCCTGGTCTACAGAGTGAGTTCCAGGACAGCCTCCAAAACAATACAAAGAAACCCTGTCTGGAAAAAGCAAAACAAACAAACAACAACAACAAAAAAAAAATACTCTTCTCTTCCACAGAGGACAAACTCTAAAACCCCTCAAATTTAAATACCAGTATTCAGCTAAGAAAAGGGCTGACTTATCTCCCCATCTTCTCTCCTAGACAGTCAATTCCTGTTACACCCAGAATGTATCAGTTCTGTACTGATTTTAAAAGTATCTTTCTTTAACACCCACTTACTAATCTCCCTGTTTAATGAAGAATAATGTACAGATACCTTACATATCAGTAGTCTATGAATAAAAACAGAACCAAGAGACTTCTCACTAGCTGGTGTCAGAACCCACAATTACTGGAACCTAAGTTTCAGATAGCTAAGCAGCAATGACCAGAATAAGGGTGTAGTACCAGCTACCAATCAGAAAGACTAAATAAAGATCGCTAGAGCCCAGGGTACAAGGCCAGCCTGGGAAACAATGCTGACACACAGACCCCCACACCCAATAAACAAAACCATCCAGGTGTGATGGTGCAGGCCTGTATTCCAGCAGGAAGATCAAGGCCAGCCTGGGCTACATACTAAGAGTCTGTCTCAAAAAGAAAAGTAAAAAACAAAGGGAAGGAATTCTTTTTCCTAACAACTTAAAGCTTTAGTTCAAGTAAATCATGTATGCATAGTAACATTCACAGAAGTGAGCCGGGCGTTGGTGGCGCAGGCCTTTAATCCCAGCACTCGGGAGGCAGAGGCAGGCGGATCTCTGTGAGTTCGAGACCAGCCTGGACTACTAAGGGAGTTCCAGGACAGCCTCCAAAACAACACAGAGAAACCCTGTCTCGAAAAACCAAAAAAAAAAAAAAAAGAAAACATTCACAGAAGTGACCCTTAGTTAAAAGTTTTGTTTTTGGTTTTTCTTTTAAATGTAGGGGCTAGGGCTGGAGAGATGGCTCAGCCATTAAAGGCTAGGCTCACAACCAAAAAAAAAAAAAAAAAAAAATTTAGGGGTTAGTCAGAGTGCTCAGCAGGTTAAAAAGTACTTGCCATCAAGTGTGATGACCCAGAATCCATGTGGTTGGAGGAGAGAACTGGCTAGTGCCAGGACAGCCTCCAAAGCTGTCTCAAAAGCAAATGTTATCTTTAGAGGCACATGCACATATACAATAAATAAACAGTTTTTTTTATTTTTTGAGACAGGATTTTAAAAGTAACATTTGTTAGGCATGATGGTGCACACCTTTAATCCCAGCACTCAGGAAACAGAGGTGGTCAATCATCACTGTGAGCTCCAGGCTAGCCAGGTCTATACAATAAGCCCCTGCCTAAAAAAATTTTTTTAAATAAAAACAAGCCAAAGTAGTAGTGAAGGCCTTTAATCCAAGCACTCACAAGGCAGAGGCAGATGGATCTCTGAGTTAAAGGCCAGCCTGGGTCTACAAAATTCCAGGTCTGGTAGTGTTACATAGTAAGAACCAGTCACAAGAGCCGGGCGTTGGTGGCGCATGCCCTTAATCCCAGCACTCGGGAGGCAGAAGCAGGTGGATCTCTGTAAGTTCGAGACCAGCCTGGACTCCCAAGGGAGTTCCAGGACAGCCTCCAAAGCTACAGAGAAACCCTGTCTCGAAAAAAACCAAAAAAGAAAAAAAAAAAAAAAAAGAACCAGTCACAAAACAAACAAACAAAATCAAACCAATAAGATGGTTTTGTATGTATGTGTATGTGTTTGTATATATTTTAAGGTTGAAAATACTGATACGATATAAAGTTCCTAGAAAATGTGGGTGGACAGTCCTACAGACACTGCAATTGGTAATTCTATGCAAAGACAAAAGAGCATTAGTTAACTGCTATTCCCAGTGGCTATGAGAATATCCTCCCAAAATTACACTACTTACGCCTTACACAACATCATGTATCGAAGAAGCCTACTATAAAGGTCAATAGGTATATAACTGTAAAAAAGGACAAAATGAAGTCAGTCATGATACAACAAGAAGAACATGCTTGCAATCCCAGAAACTCAGGAGAATCAAAGAGTACAAAGTCATTCCTGGTTAAATAGCTAGATTGAGGTCGGCCTGGGCTACCTGAGACCCTGTTTTAAAAGAGAAACAAAAATAAAAGGGCAAAATGGGAAAACAAACAAACAAACAAAAAACCTCTTAACTATGTACCTGCTAAGTACCAGGAACTACCTGGGTCTTTCATGTGTGATATCTCACTTAATACCCACCCCCTCTGGTGGCAGGGTCTTACTTTACTATGTAGCCCTGGCTGGCCTCCAAGGCACTATGTAAATCAGGCTGACCTCAAATTCACAGAGCTCCACCTGCCTCTGACTTCCGAGGGCTTGGGTTATAGGCCTGCACCACCATGCCTGGCTCATTAATCTTCTTAAACTAGATAGACCACGTGTTCTGCAATTCCTGGGAGTATGAGAATCATAACAGAGTGAACGCTGAGAAAAGACATCTGTAGTTGAGTGAACATGAGATCGAAAGCACCAAGACTGTAAGTGAGCAGAGGTAATGTGAGCAGGCATCACCATGACGGCTTCTAATCTAGCATTTTCCATTTTACTGTGCCAGGTCCTTTCTTGGTCATCTTTTGGCAGAAACTACCATAAACCAGGAAGTGGAATGAAGGCTGTCACAGTCCAGAGTCTTTCAGGATGAACTGGAGTACCAGCTGCCCTTCTAGAGAGTGCCAGCACCATGAGCACCCACATCAGGTGGCTCCCAACTGCCTACAGCCCTGGTTCCAGGGGATGGAACACTCACTTCTGACCCCCTTAGGCTCCCCCATACAAGTGGCACACAAACCTGCAGACACACTCATAAATAAATAAAAATCAAGATAGGCTGGGCCTGGTACTGTACACCTTTAATTCTAGCCATAACAAGGCCACTTCAACATAGTGAGCTCCAACGCAGCCAGGGCTACATAGTGAGATCTTGTCTCAAAAACAAACAACAAAAAATTAATTTTAAAATGTTAAAAAAGAAATCTTTCAGACTGTCCCAAAAGTAGTTATTACACATACTACTGGTTCCTCCTGTTTCCCCTTCTGCCTGATATAAGATGTCTAATTTATCTTGTAAGCGAGATAAAAACCACAACTCCCAGACAACTACTACAACTATGTTCTGAATAATAGTATGTAGGCAGAAAAATCTGGTGCAACTTCTAGGAAGTGCCCAAAAGGGTGGAGACACATTCTTTCCTTCCCTTCTTCCAGTGGCTGACAAACAAGCTTGAGTAGCCACGTGCTAAGAACAGCTAAATCTGAGATTGAAATGAAAAGCCATGCAGGTTCTGGGACTCCTGTAGACTTCCATTACATTTGAGATAAATGAACCTTTTTTTTTTCATTATTATTTTAAAACATCAGTCACACACAGGCAACTCCAATACTAACCAACAGCACAGCTAAAAGGAGAAACTGTGAATTCAGATGCCTGGCTTCCAGGAGCAGGAACTGGGGAGCCAAGATGCCTGCCTTACTAGGGGAGGGACCTCAGGATCACCTGCAGATTTGAAATAGTACCAACTTCTAAGGTGTTTATGGGGGATAAGTGTTAATATTCATAAAGCACTTAAAAACAGTACTGGCATAAGGTAAGCATCATTTAAGCATTAATTAAATAAAATAAATACAACTGGTACAGATTCTAAGGTGACAATACCTACTATAATGTATCTGTGGGCCAGTCTAGTCCCTCCCACAAGCATTTAGAAAGTGGTCCTCTGTCCTAAACCACATTTTCAGTGGGAGCTGAGCAATCATATTAATAATTTTTGGGAGACATCTGTGTGTAGATTTTACCTCTAACAGAGAACAACAGAAAATTAGAACTGGGATCCTGAACACCACCAAAAACAAGACAACAGTAACAAAATCCCCTTGTGTTTTACTGAGGTGACAGATCCCACCTATCAGAGCACCACACCCCTTCCCAACTAATCCAATATACTTGTGTTTATGGTTTTTCAAGGTAGGGTTTCTCTGTGTAGCTCTGGATGTCCTAGAGCTTGCTCTAAAGACTAGGCTGGCTTCAAACTCAGATTCGCCTGCTTCTGCCTCCCAAATGCTGGGATTAAAGGCTCGTGCCATCACCACCTGGCCCTGACTTAGTTCTAAATGAGAGAAAAAACAAAACTCTTTCTACAGCTATGGTAAGATCCAGCCAACATGCTAACCATTACCCACCTGCCTCGCAAAACACAACCACTACCTTAAAACTCATTCTGGTCCCCTCCCCCCAAAAAGATAAAAAATCTTGCTGAGTTGTTTTGTTATGCTGGGAGCTGCATCAGGGACCTGCATATTCTCAAAGCTTTCTCCAATCCAGTTTATACAAACAAAGTTGACAGTTTGCTCTCTGGTTTTGGTAGTCTTAGGGACAACTCTGGATGAATGGATTATTCAATGAACTCTACCAAGAGCTACAAGTAAGAGCCCATCCCAGCCATTTTAAGACACACAACAGCATCTAAAGAGCACACTTGGAGGCTGGAGAGATGGCTCAGAAGCTGAGAGCACTGGCTGCTCTTCCAGAGCACCCAGGGTTCAATTCTCAGCACCCACACAACAGCTCACAACCACCTGCAACTCCAGTTGGGGGATTCCAACACCCCCTTCTGGACTATCCCAGCATCAGGCATAAACATGGTGCACAGACACATAAATGCAGACAAAGTATCAATATGCATAATAAAATTTTTAAAATTAAAGGAAAAAAATTTTAAGTTCATACCAAAAAAAAATGCAAAGGACCAGCTTCACAGTAGTGACACATGCTTTTAATCCCAGCACTTGAGAGACAGAGGCAGGTGGAACTCTAAGATCAAGGCCAGCCTGGTCTACAGAGTGAGTTCCAGGACAGGTAGGGCTACACACTGAAAAACTATCTTGGAAAAAAAATGCAAGGGAATTTTGAGGCGATTTTAACACCCATTATTTAAATACACATAATAATAGGTCACCTCTCAGCTGCCCTGGTCACCTCATACCTCATGTTATCCTATTTCCATACCCCCAGTACACAAGCAGGGAACAAAATTAAGGTCAGTAAAAACTGCTGATACGCTTGAAGGAGAAATTAAAGGGCAGAAGACAATCTCCTGTGTTTAAAGCCCCATGTTCTAAACCGAGGAACCATAAGCAATGGTGTGAACCTTTTCCCAGAAGTGAGCAATAACCAGGGCAGACGGCACTGATGAGTCCACCTACGCTGTCACCAATGACTGTTAAAGAAACTCGGGATCCCGGCACAGACAACCCCACAACACAGAGGCTAGAATTAAATCCTCAGAGCCCGTGATGGATCAGCTAACCCACAGAAGAGGGACGCAATGCTTTGGGCAAAAGTAAGGTAATAAAAGGTGAAAGAGGATAGGCCTGAAGCCCCGAATCTGGAGGCAATGACCGGATACTTGTGCCAGTAGTTTGAATCTGAGGGGCCGACTGGAAAGCAGAATCGGTCAGCACCTCTCTGCCCGGTATCTGGTCAATTTCCTCTTTTCACTTTCCGCTCACGCTTCCCTCATCAAAAAGGTTCTGATTGATTTCTTCATCCCGCGAGGTTTCCCCATCTCTAGTCCCCAGAAGCATCACCAATACCGCCGGGGCGGGGGAAGGGGAGAGCGCTGGCGTTGAAGTTTCTCTTCTGCACCCTTTCGATTCCCCTTCTCCCTGGTCCCGGGACGCCGTCCCCGCCACGCCCGCGCCCCCGCGCTCACCCCCTGAGAGTCCTTGACGAAGTAGCTACCGCTGGAGCCCTGGTAGATGCGCTCGGGATAGATGCAGCACTCGATGGCCACCTCGGCCTGACGCACCACCACCTCGAACTCGGGGTCCTCCGGGAAGTCGTTCCGCTCGCGGTGGGTCTGAACAGCGTGCGCCGCCGCGACCGCCTGGGCGGCCAGGGCCTGGGCCTGCGCCACCACCGTATGGTTCTGGCCCTGCGCCGCCGCGCCCCGGGCCCGGTCCAGCAGAGGCTGCCGCTCCCGGTCGTGGCCGGGCGAGGACGGCGGAGACGGGCACGGGCCGGAGCCGGCCGCCGCCACGCGGACCGCGCCCCCCGGTACCTGCGGAAAGTGAGCTCCCGAGCCCGACGGGAAAGTGTACTCTGGGGGTTGGGCCCGCTCGGGGGACACTAGCGGGCTCGTCTCGTCCATCCCTCAGGCAGCCGGCTCGGGGACCCGGCGCGCTCCACTCCAGCGAGCTCGCAGCCGCGACCAATCCGCGGCACTCCCCACCTCCCGCCTGACCAATCAGAGCGCGGGGCCTCCGTAGCTCCGCCCCTAGCCTGCCCTGTTTACTTGGCGACGCGTAGGTACGGCCCCTCGCGCTCGAACAGTAGCCAATCAGAACCTGCCCCTACGCAATCACGGCCTCCACAGCTTTCGCGTCACCTTCTGTAAAGACTGCGCATGTTCCACAAGACAAACCCGGGTCAGGCACGCCCTCTGTCCTTAGCCCCGCCCCAGCTTCCAATTGGCAGACAGGTGTTCGGAAGCTTTCCTAATAGCTTTGTTAGTCACTTGTTTTTTGTTTGTTTTTGTTTTTTCGAGACAGGGTTTCTCTGTGGCTTTGGAAGCTGTCCTGGAACTAGCTCTTGTAGACCAGGCTGGTCTCGAACTCACAGAGATCCACTTGCCTCTGCCTCCCGAATGTTGGGATTAAAGGCGTGCACTACCACCGCCCGGCTATTAAGCTACTTGTTGAGTGCCAACCATGAACTGGCTGTGAAACTGCAAAATCATTTTTGTGTCGCTAAGCACCTGCTATGTTCAAAGAATTGAGAAGACAACAATGAAGTAATGATGTCCTGTTCACCCAATGCTATCTCAATAGTTTAAAAATCCCAACCCTCTAGCAATTTACATAGTGTCTGAGCCAATGATTCAATGCTTTATCTGATCATTAAGGGAAGTTTTGGTCCCTTGATGATAAAAAGCCCATGACTTTATTCACATCAAGTCTAGACACAGTTAGTGCTCGTTTTCATTAGTGAAAAGAAGAAAAGTGTGCCTCTGTCCTCACTCTGGATGAACACGGTCTGAAGAGTGAGCAAAAACTGCACACGAACCTGTGCTAACAGCCACCTCCTAAAGGAAGTAACTGAGTCACTGACGGGAGAAGAAAGACAGAAAAGGCACATCGTGCACATAAGACGTTGCCGAAGAGAAAGAGGAAGAGCTTATTTAGGACAGCCTGCTTGACTGAGGGAAGCAGCAGAGGGCATATGAAGGGTACCAAGAGCCGGGCGTTGGTGGCGCACGCCTTTAATCCCAGCACTCCGGAGGCAGAGGCAGGTGGTTCTCTGTGAGTTCAAGACCAGCCTGGTCTATAGAGTGAGTTCCAGGACAGCCTCCAAAGCCACAGAGAAACCCCGTCTCAAAAAAACCAAAGAATAAATAAATAAATAAATGGTACCAGGAGCCTTGGAGAAAAGAGCTTGCTTGATAGGAGGGCAGGGGTGTGATGTGAAGCACGTCCACTCCAAACCCAGACACAGTGGAGAATGGGTGCTGCGGGGGTGGATCGACAGTTAAGAGCACTTGCTGATCTCGGGATGGAATTCAGTTCCCAGCACTCACATCAGATGGATCACAACCACCTATAACACCTATAACTCCAGTTCCAGGGGATTTGACACCCTCTTCTGGCCTCTTCAGGTATCTTCACACACACGCGTGCGCGTGTACACACACACACACACACACACATTGTGTTCTCATATAAATCCTGAAAAGTCATTATTATTGTCATTATTATCATTTTCTAACCTGTGGATGAAGAAATCCTTTTATTTTTTAATTTTTTTGTTGTTGGCTTTTCGAGACAGGATTTCTCTGTAGTTTTTGTAGACTGTCATGGAACTCTCTTTGAAGACCAGGCTGACCTCGAACTCACAAAGATCTGCCTGCCTCTGCCTTTTGAGTGCTGGGATTAAAATTGTGTGCCACCACCATGCAACTAAGAAATTCTTTTAAATTGTGTTCTCATATAAGTCCCGAAAAGCCATTATTATTTTCATCATTATCATTTTCTAACCTGTACATGAAGAAATCCCCAACCAAAAAACAATTTGAAGCAGTTTGCTTTGTCTCGTAATAGTAAGTCCCATGAGAGAAACAGCAATGATCGTGGCTTTCCAAGCCTGGTAGAACTTGACATCATGCTGCACGCACACGGTCCAGTAAACAAACATGGACACACGGATATTTCGGAACAATATTTGGGAAGATTTGCTCCAATAATGGCAATATATTTCAAATACAAAGGATGTGGTTCATAACGAGTCCCTGTGAATGCAAAAATGTAGCGCCTTGCTAATTAGAAAGCTGAGCTTTTAAAGCTGGATTTAGATTCTCTCTTCATACTTAGCGGTGGAACTGTTTATGAACATAAAAATCAGAACCTCTTGAGTTAGTGGCCACTTTGGACACACCTTCGGCCTTATATGGGCTTAAAGTTTCTGCCTGGAAGTCTCTGGAGAGATGAAACCTGGATCCTCCTTTTCTGTTTGGCTGCTCGAGGTGAGACAGCAGGCTCAGCCCCACCCCTCTTTCAGATATTTGGCCCAGCCTCCCAAAACACCCGGCCCCTCACAAAGATGGCACGGAAGAAGAGTGGACCAATGGGGAGTGGCGTTGCTCGCGGTTGCCTAGGTAACAGCCAATGAACAGCGGGAATTGTGCCCAGTGCGACCATCAGGGATGGCGGCGTCCAGTGGGACTGAGGCGGGTGGAGGTGGCGGAGGGGAAGGTGTAAGTGGGGAGTCGAGAAGAGCCAAGATCCTGGCCGCTGGAGCCCTGCGACGCGTCGGGGCGTGACGGTCGTCCCCAAGAGGCCAAGCTCAGGTTGGCCCGTGGCGCGGGTGGGAGGTGGATGCTGGAGTGTGGTCCACAAAGTGGAGACTGAGGCGTCAAGCAGGTGACCGGGGCTGGGGAGTGCGCCTGTGTCCGGGCTGTACTGCCCTGAAGGTGGCTGCGGGTGGGGTTCCAAACCTGGGTTTGGAGTTTCGATTCCGAGATCGCAGCCCTGGAGAACACAGGGCACTGGTTATGGAGAGGGGTGTGCCGTGCTGTGTCTGGTGGGAATGCCAGACCATTGAGAGCTGAAGAGCCTGTGGGGTGGGAGCCGACCCCAAAAAGTATGGAGCCAGACTGAAATGAAAAAATAAATAAATAAATGCAGCGGAGGACTGGGTTGCCTGGAGAAGGTCTAGGGCTTTGTTTGATCTGGGGCGCGTCTGTGCCACAGGTAGGAAAACGACCCACGTACTGAGGCTTGGGGAATGGGTTGTTTCAGTTACTTGGCTGGTGTCATCTCTATCCAGCATCCACGAACTGCATAGGTACCAGAGTAACTTCGCTCTACTAGAGCCCGGCCCAGGCATCCTCCTTTCCTTTGACATAGAATAGTGTTCTGACAGCGTGACTCCCGAGAGTCCATCACTCTCGCGTCCCCATCATCTTTTACAAACCTTTTTGGGCCGGGCAGTGGTGGCCCGGGCCTTTAATCCCAGCAATCAGGAGGCAGAGGCGGGAGGATCTATGTAAGTTCATCTAAGTATCCCACATTCTTCCTAAATAAGGCCTGTTTGCAGTAACATTGCTTACTTTCCAAATTGAAGGGAGATTATAATTATAAATTTAAAAACCTAATTATTTCATTTTCCATTAAAACAGTATTCCCGGTTTCCTAATCTTTGTTCATCACAGCCTTCTTTTTCTCCTTTTAGGGCTCTAAAACGCCATGGTTGCTTTCTTTATAATAACTAAAAGAACTGTGTGAGACTGCCTGCTTGAGAAACACGGCTTTGGCCTTTGGAGATGTGTGGGTAGTTAAGATGGCTGCTCCCAAATAAATTGTCTCTAACTGGGAAATAAATATTCTCAGGTTGGGGAAGGGATTACTGGTCTTTGTTTTAAAACGTCTTAATTAAAGCTGGGCATGGTGGAGCATTCCAGCACTCACGAGGCAGAGGCAGGTTAATCTCTTAAGTTAAGGCCAGCCTGGTCTACAAGAGTGAGTTCCAGGTCAGTCATGACTACATAGAGAGACCCTCTTTCAAAAACCAAACAAAAATTCTTCTTCTTCTTTTTTTTTTTTTTTGGTTTTTGGAGACAGAGTTTTTCTGTGGCTTTGGAGGCTGTCCTAGAACTCACTTTGTAGACCAGGCTGGCCTCGAACTCACAGAGATCCACCTGCCTCTGCCTCCCGAGTGCTGGGATCAAAGGCGTGCGCCACCAACGCCCGGCTTCAACTCGTAAGTTAATTCAAACACTGTCCCAAGTAGTGACTATAACAACTATTTGAACACATGTAGCAGTTTCTAGCCAAATGTATTCAGCTATAACCTGAGACCCCAAAATTCTACATATGTTCCTTTTAATTAGCACTTTTGATTTGCTTCTTGAGACTGGACATGGTTTTGACAAGCAACTTCTGAACTTACTGTATCTCTCTAGATCAAAAAGGAATGGAATTGGTAATATATACTCTTGAAAAACAGCACAGAATGGTTGCAGGGGCCACTGGCAAATGGTGTGCGGTTTGCTATCACTAAATAACAAATTAACCCAACACTTGGCAACTTAAAACTACCCCCATGATATTGTAGACCAGGAATCTGGGCCTGACATCATGGAGAGGGCTTCTCTTTGTCCCACAGTTCTCAGATGAGATGTGGGTTGTGTCTGGGAGCCGGAATCATTTGGCATCTTCTTCACTGATGCCTGGTGCCTGGCTGAACCAAGATGATTAAAAAATGAGAATGCCCACTGGAGCAACAACACATGACCTGTAACTGACTTGGCTTCCTTGTTACTTGGGAGCCTCCAGCTAGTATTTTTTAAGTAACATTTTTATTTTGCACTGTGTGTGTGTGTGTGTGTGTGTGTGTGTGTGTGTGTGTGTGTGTGTGTGTGTGCTATGTTATGCTTGTGGAAGTCAGAGGACAACTTGCTGGAGTCAGTTCCCTTCTCTCACCATGTAGTTCAGGGATCAAACTCAGGTTGTCAGTCTTGGGGGCAGACACCTTTACCTACTGAGCCATCTCACTGCTCACTGTCTCCAGTCAGGTGTTCTTAGAAGGTGGCTCAGGGTTCAAGATATGGGTCTAGCAATAAGCAGGATGAACATTTATGATGAGCATCACTTCCATGGTGCTGTATTTAAAGCAGTCCAAGCCTGACCAAACTTAGGGAGACAT